GCGCGTGGGCGATGCCGAGCAGCAGGGCGAGCTGGGGACGGGGACACAGCTGCTGAGCGGCTCCGGCCCCCCCGGAGGAGCGCCCAGCCCTTCAGACCCTGCACCGGAGCTCGTCTGGACGTGGCCTCAAACGCGGGACTCTTCAGTCAAGGTTCCTGAGGTGGGTTCTGCACTGGGGCTACTCGTCTAGACTCTCCCCGTGGGTCATTCGGGGGAAGCGAAGGCATCAAGGCTTTGCCTCTTCCTACCCTCCCTGTTCCTGTTTGCTCCTCACTGCCCGGGCAGAGCCCTCAGCCCAGGTCCCCAGAGGGTGATGTCCTCTGCCACCAGCACAGCCAGCTGGGGCTGCAGGGAGAGCCCTGGATCCTGCCCATGGGCACGGACCTGCCCTGACAACTTGGCTCCTGCCCTTGCTCCGGCAAGAGGACACTCAGAGGTGCTGCTCCTGTAGCGGGGTAGGGGGGAAGGAGGAAGGCCCTTAAACCAGGTCTTTCTCTGCTCACCCTGGCACATGAGCCATCACGTACCATCAGCAGAACCAAGAGGAGGAGGATGGTGCTGCGGAGGTAGGAGTGCTGGTAGTGCTGGGGCTCATGCTGCAGGTTGTTGATCAGGCCCATAGCCAGCTCCTCCTGGAAAAGAGTGATAATCCACACACGGGAAAGAAAGGATCCAGCAGAGCTGTGCCCAAGGAATGGAAAGCCCAGGGGTTGTTGTGGTAATGGACATCTGGGATGGGCAGGACAGGGAGGGACACCCAACCCACAACAGCGTGGCCAGTCCTGACTGAGTGGAAGCCCCGGTGCAGGTGGGGAGGTGCAGAGGGCTGGGCAACAGCTGCTTAAGTCTCTGCAGGGCTGTGTCCTTCCCAGGACTCTCCAAGGACTGTCAGATGTTGGCTTTGCTCTTTGTTTAAGTGTCACCATTAGATATTTACATCTACAGAGAATCAAGCTGGGCAAAGGGGGTCCCTTTTCTGTAGGTCCAGCTGACAAGGGGAGCACCGGGCAGGAAAGGGGGACATCCTCACCTCGTCCTCATCCCACCTGTACAGGTCCCAGTTGGTGACCACAGTGGCTCTCTGCCTCTTCCACAGCTCCAGGAACACGGTGGCTGGGGAGTGGAGGCAAGGAGCAAGCTCTGTGACACTTGGAGGTGACTCTGGAGACAAAGTCCCCCCTGTGTCCCACAGAGCAGGATGGAGCCTCGTGTTGCCATCCAACCTGATGGCAGGTCAGCGCGGGCAGCCCCTGGGTGCCCACGCCCAGGAGGGGCAGGACAGGCAGCACTGGGGGCCCCATGTGGGGCTGGAGGCAGCTCTGGTGGCTCTGGGGGATTTGGCACCAGGGCTGCTCTGCTGCAGCA